CTCTATCATGCCAGCATTCAGCAATGCTTTCAGTCAGAGGCAGTGCTTACTGGGCAGGAGACCTAGAGATGGCCTCCCTTTGGGCAATTTATGCTAAATTAGTTTTGTGGATGCTTCAGGTACTGATTTCTCCAGACTTTCTTCATTACAGACAGTGCCTCTGGGACCAGTAGTGGGAAACAGTGTCTTGAATTACTGGGTCATAAATTTAATATTGGAAACTATCTTCCCTTCTTAGATCAGGTACCTATAGCAAATAGCTTTTAGTGTTTTCAAAAATGCTCACACTGTAATGTGATGTCTGGGGTTTGAAGAGCCCTTAGGTCAGAGGATGGGTGCTATGAGCCCTGAAACTGTCATGCAAAATTGTGAGTTCTGTTACCTGGGGAGAGAATCCACTGATTTCACCATATTCCCTAAGGAGTCTTTATTCCGAATATTAAGAACCACTAATACGGATTCATTTGTTCATCAAATATTTATTGAATGCCTATTCTATGCCAGTACAGTGTTATATACTGGAAACGAGAACTAGATGGTGGTGAATCACTGATGGAAACTTAAAGAAAACAGGAAGGAGCCCGAAGAGGAAAGTCCAGAATTAGTCAAGACACACTGAAGAAAGTAATTGAAAAATTTAAAGAGCCTAAAGATATCTTTTATTTGATATTGACAGACATTTCTATTTGTACATACATAATGTCATAACAATACAATACTATGGCGATGGAAACAAAACAGAGGGAAAGTTATGGTGGTGAAAACTTAGATGAAGCAGATTTATATTAATAGGTAATCCACATCTCTAAGCCACTGATTCTGAAAATAGAATCCAATTTGTTCCCCCAAAAACATGTTTAAAATTTAATTATCAGGTGGATTGATCATCTGTATTTCCTACCTCTTGTAATTGCAGCGTTTTTGGAATGATAGTTTGCGGGTCACCTGGGTGGCTCAGTCGGTTAAATGTCTGCCTTCAGCAGGGTCCTGGGATTAAGCAGGCTCCCCGATCATGGGGAGGTTGCTTCTCCCTCTCCCTCTCCCTGCCACTCCCCTTGCTTTTGCTCTCTCTCTGTCAGATAAATACAATCTTAAACAAAAGAAGAAAGAAGAAAGAAAGAAAGAAAGAAAGAAAGAAAGAAAGAAAGAAAGAAAGAAAGAGAAAGAAAGAAAAGAAAGGAAGGAAGGAAGGAAGGAAGGAAGGAAGAAAGAAAGAGAAAGAAAGAAAGAAAGAAAGAAAGAAAGAAAGAAAGAAAGAAAGAAAGGAAGAAAGAAAGAAAGAAAAAGAAAGAAAGACAGACAGACTTGCTTTCACAAATGCAGAGGTAAACTCTTGGTCTGTCACACACATGACTTATCATGAGGGCTTCCACTTAAATTTTTTCACCATAAACACATAATTTTCCTCTTCCTCATGCTAGTTACAATTTGCTTCTTAACATTGCCCTGACCCTGAGATTTGGCACTGAGGGGATGGAGGTGGGGGGGGAGGTGAGGGAAGGTCACTCCCAGCCATCAGTGGGACTGTCAAGGACACCTGGGCTCCTCTCTACCTCGTAGGGTAATTCCAGACTCCACCACTTGTCCATTGGATTCATGACTCCAAGCTAAATGGTAATCCATGTTTCTTCATATGGATGTCACCTTACTCCTTGTCTTCCTGTGAATAAAAACTTGCTGTCTAAACTGTGGACACTGTAAGTTTACCTGTGTTTCTTTTTCAATTTAAATAAGTCAAGTCATATCAGCCCACTGTTTCCTGAGCCTGAGGGGAATTCAGTTCATGCTGCTTAATTGGGCATGCATAGAATCTCTGTTTCATAGCATATAGAAACACCTAATGGTTTGTATAGTAAATCTCAGTGTCTCATTTTATAGGTGAGGATGCCATGGTTCCTAGAACTCAAGCTTGAAACCAGCAAAACTAAAATTAGAATCTTCCATTCTGAGTTCCTTCCTGGAGCTCCCTTCACAATGCTAAATTTCTAGAAGACACAAAACATCACGATTACTTTCCTTCAGTCCTTTCTGGGCAGAGTTTGGTGGCTCTAACAGTGCCCAGGTCACTGTACATTTAGTAGTTGTCTTACATGGATGATGGGACCCAGTAGCTCAGTCTTCTGAAAGGAAGTAAATGTACCCACAGGCTAGTTTCTTGTCTGACAGGTAAGTTGACGGTGGATCCCAGAAGAGACAAATGCTCATTAGATGTAAACACAGGAGCAAGAGAAGAGTAGGTATAATGGTTCATTCTGCCCAAGGGGCTCCATTTCCCACAGTGCAAACAGGATTCCATCTCTCTCCAGCTAATACATTGTTCAGTGATTTCCCCAGTGCCAGGGAAACCATGTACTTCTCAGGTGTTCCCACCTTAGCAAAAAGGTCATGTCACAAAAATCTATCTGGTTGCTGAGGGAAAGAGCAGGTTACTCCCAAAAAGTCATCTTTCCTTCTCCCACAGAAATAAAATTTTTCAAAAAACCCCCAAATAATCCCATTAAAAAATGGACAGGGGACTCAAATAGATATTATTCTAAAGAAGACATACAGATGGCCAACAGACACATGAAAAGATGCTGATCACTCATTATCGGGGAAGTGCAAACCAAAAACACAATGAGCTATCACCTCACCTCTGTCAGAATGGCTAGAATCAAAAAGATAAGAAACAAGCGATGGTGAGAATGTGGAGAAAAGGGAATTCTCCTGCGCTGTTGGTGGGAAGGTAAAGTGGTGCAGCCACTGTGGGCAACAGTATTGAGATTCCTCAAAAAGTTAAAAATAGAAAACTATATGATCCAGTAATTCTACTACTGGATATTTACTCAAAGAAAGTGAAAGCACTACTTTGAAAAGATACGTCCACCCCTATATTTATCATAGCATTATTTACAATGGCCAAGATATGGAAGCACCCCAAGTGTCCATCTATAAATAAATGGATAAAGAAGAGGGTGTGTATATATCTACAGTGGACTATTACCCAGACATAAAAAGAATAAGATCTTGCCATACACAACAACATGGATGGACCTAGTGGATATTGCGTAAAGTGAAATAATACAGAGAAAAACAATACCGTATGATTTCACTTATACGTGGAATCTAAAAAACAAAACAAACAAACAAAAAGCAGAAACAGACCCATAAATACAGAGAATACAGTGATGGTTGTCAGAGGGGAAATTGGTGGGGGATGGGCAGAATGGGTGAAGGGAAGTGGGAGATAGAGTCTTCCATTTATGGAATGCATAAGCCAGAATAAAAGAGCCAGCCTAGAGGATATCGCCAATGGTATTGCAGTGATGTTGTATTGTGACAGATGGTAGCTACATTTGTGGTGAGCATCGCACAACACATAGAGATGTTGGATGACGATGTACACCTAAAATTAGGTAACATGGTGTGTCAAGTATACTTCAAAAAAAATACTCAGAAAAAGAAAAAAAAATGGGTTTTTTAGCCTGGTCACTGTCTGCCCAGGAAAAAAAGATTATATTCTCTCACTCCCTTTGCTTTGAGAATGGTCATGGGATCAACTCCTGGCCAGTGGGACACAGGGGCCAGTGTTGTATGCAGTTTGCCTCAGTGGGACAGACTAGGCTCTCCCTGTCCCTTTCTTCTTCTCTGTTGAGAGTAATGTCAATGTGACAGGGAATCCTTTTGGAAATGAGGGTGTGATACAGTGGTAAGGGAAATGCTGACAGAGCAAGAAGATTGTCTTAGTCACTCAAGCTGCCACAACAAAATACCATGGAATAGACAGCTTAAACAACAGACCTTTCTTCAGTTTCAGAGGCTGGGAAGCTTAAGATGAAGGTCCCACTAGATGGTCAGCTTATTACTCATGTGACAGAGAGAAAGCGCCCCAGTTTTTCTTTCTCTTCTTCTAAGGACACTAATCTCATCATGGGGCCCCACACTAATGACCACATCTAAACCTAATTCCCTCCCAGAGACCCACCTCCCAATACCATTACACTGGGGTAAGACTTTAACATAGCAATTTGAAGGGGACGCAAAGTTCTGTCCATAACATAAAGAAACCTCACAAGCCAAGGCCCCATGGCACCTTGGGCTTCTACAGGAGAGAGACGTGTGTTTCTAACTTGTTAAGCCACTTCTGGGGCCTCTTTCACATTCAAACAAATTTATGACATGTTAAATACAGTACTTTAGGTTTGTTCTTACTAATATCACATAATGTTTTCTCTCATCATCATTATGGTATATGGGATAAAGACCCACTCTGTGAGGACATACACAGATTCTTATATACATATACACAGCCCCGCAGGATGCAGGTGGCAGAGTTTACATATGACTCGCCACATGTGACTGACCAGAAAGCCACTGTGGTTGGACCATGACTGGTTCACTGAGCAACTTCAATGAGTCGAAGACTGTGCAGAGCCCTGGGGAAGGGTAGTGGGCACCATTCTGTCCAATAGACTGTGACAGAACACTCACTTGATTCAGAAGTCTTTTATTTTTGTCACTGGAAGGGAGGGAAGGAGGAAGAGGCGATGTGGGCTGAAGGAAAGGGCGCCATCTTCATTCGCTGGGGCTGCCCTCACAAAGTACCACAAGATGAAGGGGAGGGGGAGTTTGAACAACAGAAATTTCTTGCCTCACAGTTCCAGAGGCCAGAAGTCTGAAACCCAGGTGTCAGCAAGGCCATGCTCCCTTAGAAGGTGCTATGAAGGATCTACTCTGGGCCTCTCTCCAAGCTTCCGCTGGTTCCTTGGCTCATGACAGTATAACTCCAGCCTTCAGGGGGTGCCTTCCCTGCCTGGAGAATGTGCCCACACTCTGCCTGTCTCTATGTCCACATCTCCTTTAATAAGGACACCAGTTGTATAGGGTTAGAGCTCACCCAGGTGATCTCATCTTAACCCAATACTTTGGCAACAACCCTATTTCCAAATAAGGTCACATCCTGCAGTGGGGGCAGGGGGAGGGCGGTGGTTAGGAATTCAACATGTAAATTTTAGGGGGACACAATTCAGCCCATCACAGGGATATGAGCTGAAAGAATATCTTGGCCAAATTATTCCATCCCACCAGCATCAGGAGAAGGGAACCAAACTGTATCAGAGAGCTCCACAAGAAACCCAGTGTGGGAGTAAGGAGGCATTTCCCCACCAGCTCTGCAGTGAAGCAGATCTCTCTGGATGCTCTCCCCATAGCAGCACAGCCCACGACAGCCAGGACTGCAGGGTAAGTGGAAATCCAGGACCCCAAAGCCGGGGTGCCAGCTCTTCATCTAGACCTCTGTTCCTGCCTCTCAGCTACCCGTCCCTCCCGCCTGGGAGCCATGGATAAAAACAACTACCTGCTCTGTCTGGAAACCAACACCAGAGGCTGGTGATGTATTTTAAGAAATATATTTTATCCTTTCTCGATGATAAAAATAATGCATGCTCATTATAGCTCACTTGGAAATGACACAGAAGTTGAAAGCCCATAGGAAAATCGCCCCTAATTCTAAGACCCAGTCAACCCATTAAATTTTGATTTCTCTTTCATCCATTTTTTTTTCTATGCATATTTTACAGAGTCTGGACCATGATCTCTATTTCGTTCTATACTCTGACTTTTCACATAACATAATTTGAAATTTTCTGTTATTACAAATAATGCTTAAATATTCTTCCAACAGCTGAAGAATATTGAGGATGGCCAAATAATAATAATACAGAGAAGCTGATATTTTCTGCATTCCAGACACAGTTTTAAGCAATTTATATACATTTTCCCATTTAATCCTGACAAGAGCCCAACAAAGTAGGAATTATTTTCAATGATACAAATTGCTAAAAAATATTGAGGCTCAAAGTTTTAGTAGTGTGTCTAACATCACACAATTATTAAACAGCCAGAGAGAGATTTATAGACAAGTTTGTTTAAGGCTACTTTCCTTGCTTCTGATTACTGCTTAATTTCTCTATTCTTGGATATGGGGCTTGCTTCCACATTTTTACTGTTATAAATACTGCAATGTACATCTTTGGACAGAACAGTTTTCCCCCAGATAAATTCACAGAGCTGGAATTACTAGAACTAAGATTTGAACATTCAAAAACCCACATTTTTTGTTACATTATCACTAATTTGCTTTCCAAGAAGGTTATGCCAACTTGCATCCCCTCAAGCACCATTCTTGTTTCTTTATGCTGAGCATTGGACAGTCAGTCTTACTGAGCATTCCTGCTATTTATGATAGCTGAAAACAGATTGGTTTTGCTTTTTATTTGCATTTTTTTGGTTATTAAGTTACATGGTTTTTCATGTGTTTGAAGCCATTTATATTTTCTACTAATAGTCTGGGCCCATTTATCTGTTAAAGCTTTCGTATTCTGATGAGCCATAGGCAACTGACGTTTTTTTGTGGGTCAAAAACTTGTTGACTTTCAGCTCAAAGTTTTTTTCAAATGCATTAAGAATATTAATCTTTAGATATATTGGCTATAAATATTTTTGTTGATGTTTTGATATAGATGTTTTTATTTCCAAAATGAGCACCCAGTAATCCGGAAAGTATTCGAGTAATGAAAATAGCATGCTAATGAGTCCATGGACTGATTTTTTTTTTTTTTTTGCTTTAGCATCTTTTTTTTTTTTTTTTAAAGATTTTATTTATTTATTTGACAGAGAGAGAGAGATCACAAGTAGGCAGAGAGGCAGGCAGAGAGAGAGGGGAAAGCAGGCTCCCCGCCGAGCAGAGAGACCGATGCGGGGCTCGATCCCAGGACCCTGAGATCATGACCTGAGCTGAAGGCAGAGGCTTAACCCACTGAGCCACCCAGGTGCCCCTTGCTTTAGCATCTTATTTACGTTTTCTTCTCTTCCTCCACCCTCTCAGATCTGAGTCCAGAATGACATACCTATATGAGGAAGATCACGGCTTGGCATCAACTTTAGAGATAGAATAGGACATGTCCTTGAAAGAATTACAGGTGCCAGTTAAAATGAGAAAAAATAAATAAAAATTAAAAAATAATAATAAAATGAGAAAAAAATAATGCATCTTCCCCATGGGCAATGACCTCTTAAAGGAAAAAATAAAAAAGAAAACTGTAGCCTGAAAGCATGTGGAGGGATTACTTTTACTGTGGTAGCTTAGAGGCTCTTTAAGGAAAGAGTGATGGTGATGTAGGTGCAGGGATGCACCTTGCACGCCTGACAACTCAGAATGGGCTGTGTCTCATTCGTAGCCAAACGCAGAGAAAGCCAGACCATCTGGCTCTGCAACGATTTCATGTCTTCTCTTTCCTGTAGGTAGACGGAGAATCATTTGAAAGAAAACCTTCTTGCCTGCAGATTGCACACACGTTTTTGAACATCTCAGAGTAAAAAGGAACGGTTCAACTCGCTTGTCAAATCTAAGCGGGTGGTAAGAGGGACAGAAACACTGTTTCTACAGCCAGGAATCTTTTAAATCAAAGGTTACTGATAAGCATTTGCCTTTTAACATCTCCTGCTCAAGACCCTTTGTAGAAACAGTTTCTGTTTGCTTGTGTTCCCCTGGGGAAAGGGACAGTGTTGTATCCCAATCTGCTGCCTTAAGCCTCTGGTTTAAATGATTTACATCAACCCTCCCTTGGTCTTCAGTACTTTTTCATGCCAAGTACTGATGCTCTGACCCAAAGATGGGAAGCAAGTCTTGGCTCCTCCTGTGTCCAAGGCTTTGATCAACCCGATGTATCTTGCTGCCTGCCTAAAGTGTAAATGAGATTATATTTTATATTTACAGCGTGGCTCCTGGGAGGGCAGCTGAAGATATTACACATGGGGTGCTTGCAAAAACAATAAACCGTTCTCCATGGATGAGGATGACATTCCTGACCCGCCCTCTGAGAGGATGAGCTCACAGTTGCTTTCCCTGGGGAGAGCACCACTCCCGTCACCTGGTTGCCATTTGTCTCGGGCCAGCCAGGTTGGGGGTGCAGCTAAGTGAAGAGAACAAAGTTTGCCTCTGTGCAAAGCTAACTGACCCATTTACCAATCCCACCAATCAAACTCGTGATGTCAGTCTTCCTGGCAGGAGCCACAGACCCACACGTCTAACTGCTCCATAGGAACCAATGCGTCCGCAAACAGACTTCTGCCCCCCAGAGCACGCTTGCTCTGGGGCTGGAGTGTGTGCACAGAGCTCCGCCCCTTGTCACCGCCCCCTGCACCCTGGGCCTTGCTTTGTGAAGAAGGCTTACACACGCGTCCCAGATGTTCCCTGTAACCGAGAACCCTGGAAACGGCTGCATAAAAACACATGGTCTTGCTAAGGGCCGGACTGGAATGTGACCAAATGGTCCCGGGCTGTGGTCTGATTACTGGGCAGTTGAAGACCCAACCCTGTTTCCTCCTCTCTGAGCTGTTGGGCCTTGCTTCACTAATGGGGCATGATTCTAACAGCTGCGGTTGTAGTGAGGGTTTCTTGTAAATACCGTGGATATAATGGTCATAGTACCACAAGAACGTTAAGATTTTTTTTTTTTTTTTAAAAGAGAGCAAGAAGAACACAGAGAGGAGGAAGCAGATTTGATAGCTGGTAATGAATATGTGGGAAATCGGATCATATTTTTGGAATGATAATATGGTCTCCTCTTTGCTTTCCAGCAAAATTTATATATGTGTGCCCACTCCCCTCTCCCCTCAACCAGGGTGTAAAGCTCTCCCTTGGAAGAATGTCAATAGTGACAACGAGGTCAATCTATGCAGCTGTGGTGTAAATCTTTCCTGAAATCAACTGCACGGATGTGTTTGTCCTCCCTGGGGGCCCGAGACCGAATAATGCAGGCTGTGTGACTGTGTCCCTGACTGGCTCCCTGCTGTCCACCCCCTCTCGGTGCAAACCCGTCCTGCAAGGGGCCGTCGCTTGCGTCCTCCTGGGGCTTAACCAGCAATAAGCCGTCTCCGCAGAGAAGGACATGTGACGGCTTCGAGCTCCATCATGTGACACATGCTGGGAGTGAAGAGCAGTTGCTTTTCCTTGGCTTTCGAGACCCTCCCTGTTCGGTCACAATCCTGCTTTCTAAAGCCTCCTTCACTCCACCAGTGTACCCTGAGCCACCTGCCCTCTTCCAGCTTCCCAGACCCGCTGCGACCTCCTGCTGTAAGCTTCCCTGTGATCTGAACCTCTTCTTCCCAGCCCTCTTCCCCATCCTTCAGTGGGTCTTCCTCACTGGTTACCTGAAGTGTCTGGCAGACAGGTGCTTCGAAAATGTTTGCTCACTGACGGAGAGACGGATTTAGCAGCCCAGTCTTTGAGTGTTTCATTTAGCTGTTTGCTCAACACGGCAGGATGGTTCTAGGTCAAGCCTAGGCCACCGTTGTTTTCTCTACCTGGGATGCCCTTACCTCTTCCCCACAATCCACATCCTATTTACCCTTCCTACTGGGCTCATTCTCCTCTCCAAGGCCACCCCTCTTGCCTAACCCATCAGATCCAGTGGGAGTTTTCCCTCTTTTTTTTTTTTTTTAAGATTTTATTTATCTATTTGACAGACAGAGATCACAAGCAGGCAGAGAGGCAGGCAGAGAGAGGGGGAAGGGGAAGCAGGCTCCCCGCTGAACAGAGAGCCCAGTGCGGGGCTCGATCCCAAGACCCCGAGATCATGACCTGAGCAGAAGGCATAGGCTTTAACCCACTGAGCCACCCAGGCGCCCCGAGTTTTCCCTCTTCTAAATTCCTGGCGTTCTCATTGCTCAGGGACCAAGGCCTTAATCACATACTTCCCTGCAGGGAGACCTGAATTTTCCTGGGTTCCCTTATCAAATCTGTATCCACTTCCCCCAGTTCCTCAGGGTCCTGACAGTTGCTGAGCACAGACCAGCTGCTCAACACACGTCTGATGGCGATTGGGCACCTTTCTACCTCTCTCCAATTCCCCATATCCTGTCCGTCATTCAAAGTCCCGCTCAAGCCCAGCTTCCTCCTCGGTGGCTCTGTGGATGATGCCCCACACTGATCCACAGCTGGCCCCGAGGCCACAACTTCCGTATCTCACACACCTGTGGGATGACATGTCCGAGCACCAATCCCAGCGTGTATGCATATTCTATAACTTGTGACCTTTGTGTGTGCCCAGTTGTGTCCTGGCTCTCTGGGTCCCCGGTGTACTCCCAGGAGAACATGCACCCCACACTGCAGGCCCTCTTGAGCTGACACTTCTTTCATTCACCCAGACACACCAGAACACTCAAGGCCCAGAATGTGTGACTGGATGCCTACTGCCCTCTCAAGATGACCTTCTGTGTGAGTCACAACTTCTGCTCCTGGTGTTTGATGCACACACTTCTCAGTGTGGAAGGCTGACAGCAGAGCTCTTTGAGACCAGGTCACCCACCACCAGGAGACTGAGCATTTCTGGAGCACAGAGAAATGCTCTTAGTCCGAAGAAGGCTCACTGTGCCCGGCACATAGTAGAAAGTCAGCATACCTTGAAATAGAATAAGAATAACCATGATCCTTGATGGCAAGTGTCCTACTCCAGGATCTTCAAACGTTGGCTTATACACCTTGTAAAAGAATTTTGAAAATCTATGTACTCATCCACGCATTTTTACATTGACATCTAAAATTTTTCACACGTTTTAAAAATAGGTTTTACTAATAGGAGACAGGAAATGTTAACTATTATATATGTTGAAATGAGATGAGGATTGACTATCATTTGAATCAATATTTTATATTATTGGATAAAATAAATTTTCATTACTTTACTGAATAAAGCCTGTATAGCTCGAGGATAGCAGGTGAAATTTTTTGTGTGTGTTTGATTGATTGTATTTCAGAAAATCCAACGCCCTGCAAAAACTACATCAACACCATGAGCTTATGCTACTTTGATATTCTGAATGATGAGCCCCCATGGGCCAACATGCCCTTCTTGCAGAAATATGTATAAGACAGGGAAGGACACAAAGCCTTATGAGCTGAAGGGACTTGGTTCATCATTAATTTTAATTTATCCCATTGCTTCAGGGGCCCTCCTACAGCAAAGAACTAAAACAAGATTTGGGATGGGCAAGGGATATATCCTTCTTTTGTAAATTGAGGAAGATACATTCTAAGCATAAGCTCCTTTCAAGCAGATTACCATTAGCAAAGAATACCTGTGGGCATGGATGCCGTTATAGCTATCCTTGCCTGAGTATCTTTTGGAAAGTGTTCAGATTTTCCAGAAATCATGTACCCCCTTTGGAGGAACACTGGCCCAATGTCGCAGCTTAACAATAAGAAAGCTGGAGTAGAGGGATGAGCAAGTCCTGGTCCAGGCCATGGAACTCAATGCTTCCCCTTTGGCTCCATGGAGAGGACAACCTTCATCTTCCCTGTGAGGCAGGTTAATATGGAAACTTGAGAAAACTGTTAGGTGTTACACTGTCAAGCATTAGAAACAAAAACAGCCCCTGAAAGGTAGCTAAGCCAGAGAGGCACAGTAGAAAACACCAGCTCTCAGAGGAGCCAAGGGCAGACAGTGGTAGGCAGGCACAGCTGAGGCAGGGGAGCAGGAGGGAACAAAAGGCAGACAGAGGAGCTGGAACAGATTTGTGGTTGGTCTAGACCAATTCAAGGGCACTGTGCTTCTTTTTGCCAGCCCTGCACCAGGAAACCCAGAGCTCAGGTTCCTGGCTCCCCAGCTTGCAGCTTTGTCTTACAGAAGGAAAGCTGTTTAAACTTTATTGTATGAAGTGCTATAAATATAGTGTGGCTTCAACGTCTTTGTGGCTCTGACACCTCCTGAGGCTCTCCAGGCTCATGTTCTGGTCCATGTGTCTTATTTTTCTTGGACAAACCAAATCCTGCTGGTCTTGTGTACCTGAGTCACCTCTTCCCCCAGAGCACCTTGCCTAAAGCACAAACGATTGCTTCTGAGTCTTCTTTCTCCAGCATACGCACCCCACCTCACCCCATAGAACAGAATTTCTCCAAGTGGGATCCACTACTGCATCACCATTATCTGGGATTTTTGTGGGGGAAAAAGAGGAGAATAGATTGCTAGGCAAATCTGGAGATCAAGATTTCAAATCTATAATATTTGGAACCCCTAGGACAATACATAGGAACTTGCCCTCTCATAAGCTGCCCAGGTACTCTTCTGTGTTCTAAGGCTTAGAATCCATCACTGCTATGATCTGAATGCTGGTGTCCCCCAATTTCATATCTTGAAATGCTAATCCCCAAGGTGATAATATTTGGAAGTGAGGCCTTCGGGAGGTGACTGGGTCATGAGGATAGAGTCTTTATAAAAGAGACACCCAGAGATCCACTGCACTTTCTACCAGGGGAAGACACAGGGAGAAGACAGCCATCTGTGAAACAAGAAGCAGGTTCTCACCAGACACCAAATCTGCTGGCACCTTGATCTTGGTCTCCCAGCCTTCAAAGCTGAGAAAACAGTTTCTGCTGCTTATAAGCCATCCAGTCTGTTGTTTTCTTTAATGCAGCCCCAGTGGACTAAGAGAAGTGGTGTGCCATCAGGGACTTTCTCAGAGTCCCTGGGCTTCCTTCACATGTCTACTGTAACACTCGCCATCACACTGCAATTTCTTTATGTACTTGCTTGTTCCTACTAGTCTTTGAATTCTCAAGAGAGATACCCTTCACCTTTGTTAACTCTACACCAAGTACAGTACCTGGTACATAGTGCTACTTAATCATTGTTTTTCTTCCCTTCCTTCTTCCCTTCTCTTCACTTCCTTTCTTCCTCCCTCCCTCTCTCTCTCTTCCTTCCTTCCTTCCTTCCTTCCTTCCTTCCTTCCTTCCTTTTCTTTCTTTCTTTCTTCTTTTTTCTTTCTCTCTCTCCTTCCCTCCCCCTTCCTTCCTTCCCTCCCTCCCCCATCCCTCTTTCCTTCCTTTCCTTTTCCTTCCTTCCTTCCTTCCTTCCTTCCTTCCTTCCTTCCTTCCTCTCTCTCTCTCTTTCTTTCTCTCTCTCTCCCTCCCATTTACTTCCTTCCTTCCGTCTCTCCCCCCTCCCTTCCTTTCCTTTTCCTTCCTCCCTCCCTCCTCCTCTTCCTTCCTTTCTTCCTCCCACACTCCCTCCTTCTTTCCCCTTCCTCCCTTCCTTCCTTCCTTCCCTCCCTCCCTCCTTCCTTCCTTTCTCCAAAATAGCTTTTTATTAAATAGTAAAGCACAGTTGCAACACAATTTTAAGTGTTTGTAAATTAGGTCACAAAAGGGGTG